AAAGAGAACATATTTATGTCATCACATACATGGCGAGTCGCACTAGTATCTATCCACCAATCAGCGTGGTCAGATACAAGATTAATTTCAAAAATCATTGCAGCCAGGGCATCCACATCATTTTGAATCAGGTTTGTGCGGTTGTTGTTGCCTTGATTTCCAGGACCTTGTTCCCTTTGATGGCGACATTCTTGAGCCCTAGCAGCTTCCCTTAATTTTCTTGAAGTCTTTGCCTTTCACACCAGAGACAAAGTTCTTTTCCTTCTTCTTAGTTTTTTGAAATTTCGGCCTTTGCTTTGATGAACTTCCTTCAACAACATTCGCCTTGGCTTCCATACTCGAAACCAGGCCCTTCTCATTCTTTTTGTTATCTTCCTTAATTCTCAGCTTTACAATGAGATCCTCTAAGGTCATCTACTTACATTTGTGCTTGAGATAATTCTTGAACTCCTTCTAAGAAGGTGACAATTTCTCTATAAAAGACGCCACCTGAAAAGACTCATTGATCACCATCCCTTCAACATGAATGTCATGGATGATTTTCTGGAGATCTTCAGTTTGAGAGACAACATACTTCGAATCAACCATTTTGCAGTCCAAAAATTTATCCACGACAAATTCCTTTGAACCAGCATTCTCTGTTTTATTTCTGAATTGTTCTCCAACAATCTTCGAACAGTATGGAACAATTAAAATGGTACTAACTTGGTTTACACAAATAGAGGCTAGCGCAAAAGTTATGTCCTTCGAATAGTATTTTTGTTCCACTCTTATGCTTGTGGTTCTATGGCGCCTGCTCGACCAGGATACAACTATCTAATTCTACAACCCGCACTGGATTATAGAATTATGGCCAATTGCTTTATGTGTTTACTCTCTGTAAGGTGTTGTATGGGAGAGATAGAAAGGAAAAAGATGATATACGAAGGAACTAGGAATCTTCAATTACATAGGCTATTTCATACCTTTTCAAATATCTTTTGGATGTATCTGAAACCACACAACTCTTTCCAACCAGTTGCGTCTATTAATCAAAACGTTTTCTTAATTAATTTAATTAAAAACTTAATTCAAAATTAAAATTAATGAACTCTGATATTGATTAATAATATTAATATTATATTAATATTATGGTATAATTATCACAAGCCTAATCCACACAATTAGTGGCCCAAACCTCAATTCTCATTCCAAATGATCCAACACCTAATCACTAATAAAGGTGACTAACCTAATATAAGGGCCTCTAGCGAACTTGAGTTCCCCGATGTGGGACTAAAAGAGCTCAAAACTCCAACAATGCTTATAAACTATGCATGTGCATGTACATGAGAATTGTGGATCACAAATTGATGATAACCAATGTTGATTTTGGTTTTACAGTAGTTACTAAATTCATCAATAAGCTGTGTTGATATTGAGCCACGTTCTTTTGTTCGTTGACGAAAAGAAAAATTATTGGCCAAAAATGAGAAAGGCAATTCCACTATAATTTAGTATAGTACAAATCGTCAAATGATGTTGACCCAGAAAGTTACATATTGACATTTGTAATACAGTGAAATACACTTACATGATATGACACATGGTTCCTAGTTCAAACCTAATATTGTTATATTCTCATGATTTTTCATTGTGAAACTCGTTCATTTCAGTGGAGAGATATATATGCTCGAAACATATCTCCACAAGTAAATCCCTCAAGTATACATAAAAGCAAATTGCTCTGTATAAATTCTAAAGGAGAATGTGTCATGAAGTGTAAAAAATCCCTGAATGATTCAAATTGCTTAAAGTAAGCCTTGGAAGTGTAAAGCACACATTATGTGCTCAATATTAATAGATGGTATAAAATTGCCAAAGAGAGTACTTTCATTATATTGTTACAACATACTAAATCTTTTGCAAGAGTTCATATAAAATTGAGACTCCTGAAGAGTCTAAACAGATTATAAAGTGTTGAAAGGAACATTGTCTCGAGCATCGAACGATATTCCAACACGAATTCTTATCCACCGAAAGTTTATGGTATTAAAAACCATGTAGTTTGAAGATCATGAGTTGAACACTCAAATGGTTAACTAATTTTTAAGCACTAAGAAAGGTCATTCATCCTCGTGAGGTAAATGATGAATTGATATTTGGTCCAAAACCTTATCTTAGTGAAGTATGTTCCTTACTGTATTTAGCACAAAATACTGAATCAATTATTACATTTCATGTGGAGCACAATACTAACAAAATGGGTATTGCAATGAAATAAAGTTTATCTATTGATATCTCCAAAAAATTATAAGCATGTGCTTGTTCTATTCCAAAGAACTCACTAATAGCCATGGTCATATTGTGCAAGCAAAATTTGAATATCTCTCTAGTCTACATTCAAATCACTCTCAGAAATGATTAGTATTTACATTTGGAAATAGATTGATCTTGCAAAGATCAAGGAAACAAGCATTCATTGCTACATCTTTATATCTCTCAGAAATACATGTGTATGGTTAAGACAAATGGCCAATCAAATTTTGAGTGCATGTGATTGACCTTCAAAAGCAAACACTCCAACTATCGTGTATTGGCTTAATGACAAATTAATTAATCCAAAGCTTATTCTAATCAGGGGGCGATATCATCTTGGGGAGTGTCTAAGAGTATGTTACATTGGCCATATGAGCAAAGTACTTTTTTTTCTTTGCTTACATCACCTATTCATATCATGAAGTTCTAATGAAGACAGTCAATTAAAAACTTGTGGTCATCCAAGGGAGAGTGTTATAAAGGTGGATGACCCACTTGAAGAAAAAGGCACCAACAGCCAACAAATGTTAAAGTTGTGCTGCCTATGATGGGTGCATATTTTCATATATTTTTATCATATACTTCCTTTGGATTTTGTATATATGAATGGGTTAAATGCACTAATTTATATTGTTTTAATTTATAGGCATTAAATATTGGAGTTATGCAAAAATGAAGTGAAAATGAGTTTTTTGGGTGTCTACATAATTCTAGTGGAGCAGGAGGCTAATTAACTGCACCAAGGCATATGCGTTACAACAAGAAGATGAGACTGCAACGATTTTGGAAATCAAATGGACATGAGAGTGCTATTCAATGGAATTTAGGAGAAAACTTAATTATTAGTTTTATTATTTCCGTTTTTTTTTATTTATTTCTTAAATAAGGACATAAAGTCCATTAGGATTAGAAATTAGTATGCTTTTAATTGTCTTTAAGCACTTGTTTGCCGTGGGTGTTATAAGGAGATTTCTTCTCCTTGTGATGCATTACTAAAAAAAAAACAAATAGAACAATTCATATTTCAAAGGGGGTTGCGGCAAGAAGTGAGAAAAAGGGAAGAGTTTTCTTTGTTTTGTTTTCTTTGCTAGGGCTACGATGTAGCCTAATCATGAATACTTAATTGTCTTGTGGCATTGTTATTATCAAGTTTTTCATCTTTATTGAGTATCTTTTGCTATTCGTAATGCGCTTGATTTTTATTTAGATGTTTGATCACCATCTAGGTTTAAATTAGATTGATTTGATGCAAGTTAGAGTAGATGCCATACTTAACTTGATTTTAGCTTCTTGCAACTGATACCATAAACACCTATTTGTAGATGCCATACAATTAGGGTTTGTGTGATTTTCCAACAATTTCCATAGAGCTTAATGGGTTCTTACTTGTTTAAATCCATCTAGATGCCATAGAAGGTTAACAAGTAAGGATACTTTTGATGCAACCAGATGCCATGGCCATTGAATAATTTAGGGAAAATCGATAATCAATATTGGGGAACAACTTGATCATAACATATTAAGGGAATTAAGTAGAATTGGTTACGGTGAATTCAGATGCCCTAGGTTTTATTTTCTCATGTTTTTAAATTTTATTATGTCATGCATTTTATTTTAAATTCATATTTCATTTTTAGTTTAATTCAAATCATCTATCTTTTCCGTTAAAGCTTCTCCGCTATAATTTGTTTCGATTTAGTTATTAAGATTTTAGAATCAATTCGATCTCTGTGGGACGATATCTGTGCTTTTGATTCGTATGCTTGGAAGCACAAAAATTCGAGACTTAATGAGACTAATTTCGGTTATCTAATTTTCGCAACAAGTTTTTCACATTTATTGACCTTAACAAAGAAGATAAATTTTCTCTATATGAAGGCCTATCAGCACACAAATATGATAGAGAAGCATAGATACAATGTATTGTTTCCATTACTTTGTAATTTCAGTATGATAATAAGAGAGGCTACTACTACTGCCCTGAGGACGTAGGCACACTTGCCGAACCTCGTAAATATTATGTCTTATTTACTTTATTCCACTGCACACGTACCGTCAATTTCACAACATATTTTGATTTAACTTACATTCTTATATTATTGTTACTTGTTGGTATTGTGTGATCTGATAAGTGAATAAGCTTCTGTGTATGAATATTTGCTATTAAACTTAAACTTGGTGGAGTTTGACCAGTTGAGATTTCTAGTCTTTTAAGTTTATATCATACAACTGTGTTTTCCATCACTATCAAACTTGTAACTTGTTGACTAGCTCATCTAACTGGTCTATTGTGCAAGGTTTTTTTTTTTTTTAGTCGTAGAATATTCTGCCAGCATAATAAAATGTATTAGGAGTTGACACGGTTTGGATTGGTTCAGTTTTAGGTACAAACCACGACCCAAACTACACACCGCAATTTGCCTGAATTTCAAACCACCCCGAACCATAATGGCTTAAACCGATGTAATCGGTTCACCAATATTGCTGTGCAGTTTGGTTCGATTTGGAGTTTATCATGCACATATTACTAATACTATATGAAAATTTCCAGTTATGTTGAAATTAATTATAAGAAAAAATTTATAAACCTATCAATTAATAATAAATTCATCATCAAACTACGAACTTCAAAATACTTTATCCCATAAGCAAAATCTAAAACTTTCAATCTCATCTCTAAAGTTTTAAAGTACCATGAAAGATAACACAAAGTTTATATTATTCATTGCAGGCGAGCTGTGAGTCCCAACAATTGGTAACACAAGTGCCAAAAGATTTAGAGTAAACTTCGAGGCAGCAGAGATACAAAACCCAGATTTCACAACCAGCAGCACACAGAGACACAGAAGACAGGAAGTTTTTTCATTCATTGTCTCAAGGAACTCTTTTAAGGTTTATTTTACAGAATATGTAAACAACTTACACAGTACAAGTCCATGCACACAGTATTACTCGGTTTGTATTAATACAGGAACCACCTGCACCCTAGCCGTTAAGTTCTCCCATGGTAACGGGTAAGCCTCCAACTTCCGGTGACTCTGTATACGAAATGGAGATCAGCTCAGACCTAAACTTCTCTTCTCCATCAGTATCTATTGCCTCGCCATTCAACTCTCCAGAAGAGAGTTTTGAAGTGAGATTCTTCTCTGGTAAAGAGTACGAAATGGCAATAAGCGACTCACGAGTCACTTCTTCAGGAGCCTCCTTGCCAAGTCCTGCTTTATCCATAAAATGTCTGATGTGCTTGGTCTGCATGTATCCAAACATATCATATTAACTGTAGGTAAGTTGAAAAGATGGAGACAAGAAAATCGGAACAGACATTCACAAGAAGTTCCAATTACTACCACAATGTTCTCACAAAGTTGTTCATTTTGCAATAGAAATGCATCCGAGAATCCCCATTCACCAACCAAAAAGAAAACAACAAAATTATGGGAGGGCTACTGGCCATGCTGCTTCAAAGAATTGTACTTTTTTATTTTCTCGGAACACCGACTACTTCAGTAAATCTTGGCTTTGATAAAAGATAGTCGATTTTAAGTGTTTTCAGTCACAAAAGTTTACATGATATGGCAAAATAAAAAATTGCAAATCAACCGCTACATCAGTTTAAGACAGCATATTGCACAACAACGGAAAAGGCCCCAATGATGATTAAATTAGAAGGGAAGCATAAGAAAACCCAAAATACAGAAGACTAGGAAACCGAGGTAAAAATGAAGATGATGTTGAAAAGATGCAGACACAAGGTACAACTAGATTTCCAATTCGTTCCACCAGGAAAATCAAATGTAACAACTAGATTTCAAAGCCATAAAAGGTGAAGAAAAAAAAAATACTGTCACGTTCAACAAAAAGGGGCAGGGTTTCAGATTCTTCAGAATAACAGGAAACACAAAATAAACTTATCCCTCTCAAACACAAAGGGAACTGGCAAGCTTTGTGCCGATCAAATTCTGATTCCCGAAAGTGTAGAACCCGTATCATTAAACCGCAACGCATAATATGAAACCCCAACAAGCTATTGAAAATCATGCACAAATTCCACACAAAATTGAATGCTCTCAACATATCGGGTTGAAACCAAAACCAATCCGCCACCATAAAGATGCGATTTGAGGGTTTTCAGGCTTCATTCAGTTGCATCAATTATCACAAGGGTCAGTAACTAGAAGTTGACCGGGTAGAAGATTTAATTAGGAGATTATGAGGTGCTCATAATGCAGGTTTTGACTTCTGAATTGGAATGCAGGGTTACATCTTGGCAACTACCAACTTCTTTTTCATGAATTTTATCAAAAACCCTAATGGCTGGAAGCCTATGCAGAAAGGGAGAAAACCCAGTAATCTACAAAGTAGAAGCAGCTTCATCTTGAAGCTACATACCATTTAATCTTTGAAATTAACTTGAAATTATCACTTCAGAAAAGAGAAAAGCATCTACAACTACAAAAATTAAAAAATTGAACTTCAAAAAATATGGAAGATTAAGCACCGACCCATCAAAGCGAGGAGAAAAACATGCACAACCCATGTCTTGTTTTCGAGGATGACTAACAAAAACAGATTCAATCAGAGGCAGAACCATTTAAACCCAGAAAGAAATTCAAACATCCCAAATTTCTGAAACAACATATGACCATAGAGACTGAGCGGAAGAAGAGAGAAATATAGAATCCCAAACAAAATTGTAGAGAGAGAGAGGACATACCGCGAAATCAAAGCCGCTTGAGGAAGAAGAAGGGGAGTTGGTGAATAGAGATTTATAAAGTGTTGACCTCTCTCCGTGTATATGAATATATTTGTATTGTATCGACTCTGAATCCTCTATTTAACTTTGTTTTTTATTTAAAGGATGAAAAAGGAGACGTTGCAAGTAGGCTTCAAAGAGTTAGAGAGAGAAAATTTTAGAGAGAGAGAGAGAGCAAAGCAAATAATGGCGCCTATTTTTCTCCGTCTTCAATCTTCAACCCTTGATTGGTTGCATACTTTGAGTTTCCCAGTTTGCAGATTTATTACCCCAAACAACGTTTTTTATAGGAAAAGTATTGCAAGTTTGGTTTTGTACGGTATCATGCTCATGTGGTATGACTAAGACATTGTTGACGAACAAACAAAAAGGCCTCTTTTTTTCCTATTTCGTTACAACTGAAAATATGTTTTCTCTTTATTTTTTTAGCCGTATATAAGTTTTTCAAACGCAGATGAGAGGAACTTACTTAGAACGGAAATGTATTTTTATTGTGTCTGTCCTATCATAAAATATAAGAAAAATTAATGAAAATAACTTGAAATTTTTTAATTTTAACGATAAAGACAAAATAAATAGTACCAAGATTTGATTTTTTAATGTAAAAGTATAATTTTTTGTTAAAATAAACAACACATAAAACTTTTTGTCAAAGTTACTTAAAATATATTACGTGTTTGTCCAGCCAACACGCGTTGTGTACATACCCCTTATAAATTTTGTCCTTTAGCCTAAACTCGGTCTTGCTGGAAGTTTCTTGTCATCCGATCTCTGTTTGGGTTGGCCTCAATACCGAAGCTTGCTAAGCTCCAGCACAATTAGTTCAATATTTTTAATCAAAAATTGAGTTGGTTCTGAGTCATATCAAATGTTTTTAATGAAGTATTTGTTGATTTGTTTCCTGAATTTGTGCAGAGCTATTAATTTACTTTTTGAATTTTAATTTTAATCGATTATTTCCTTTAAATATTTATAATTAATCAATTTTTTGCTTGAACTTTAATTTTAATCAATTACTTTCAAAACTTTTATAAATAACAAATTCCTCCATAGCGTTAAATTTTAAAAACTTGCATTCAATTTTTCATCCATCCAATTTTCCATCCTTTTTGTCTTCATACAATTGTCATGTATTGTTTTCGTGATCAAGATGAATGGAAAATTGGATGAAAATTTTTAAAATCTAAAAATGCCAAAAGTAAATTGGTTATTTATAAAAGTTCAGGGAGGTAATTGGCTAAAATTAAAGTTGAATGGGGAAATCGGCTAATTATAAAAGTTCAAGGGGGTAACTAGCTAAAATTAAAGTTCAAGGAAGAAATTAGCAGCTCCATACAAGTTCAGGGGGCAAATCGACAAATATGACTTTTACAAAAGAGACTAGCTGGTGGATTCGTCACGATAATCTATATTTTCAAAGACCGGAAAGACTATAAAAGGCATTTCAGCATTCCCTGACTTACATCGTGGGCTTGATATCACTTGGTTAAATCTAAACTTAATCTTCTGTTTTAGCATATATAATTCGATTTTTAAGTTTAATCACCAATGACTATGAGTCATGTGGTTATCGTGACTGATACAAAATTAACGAGCGGAACATGCACATATGACAAAATAATATCAACTGACATGCATTATGCATTATTAGTTAGCACCAAACTTGTTGCAACACAACGTTTTTCTTTTCTAAACACCAGCGTTTCAAGCAAAACAGCGTTTCAAGCAAAACAAATGTATTGGTTTGGCAACTAATATTACAACTTGTAGTGTTCTTCTTTATATGTAAGTAAAAAATTTTAGATAAAATTTCTGCTATGACGAAATTCGACATCAAGTTATTTACAAATAATTATGAAGTTTAGCTCAACCTTCTTTACTTAATATCTTCTTATAAAAGACACTTTACTTTATTTATAGATATATATACAGATTCGTGGCTCTACTTTCTTTACACAAGTTTTTTTGTGTGACTCACTCTGTAATGTATTTCAACAATCTAAATTGTATATCTTTTAGGTCTTCTCTCAAATATCACGTCTATAAAAAATCACCCAAATCTGAAACCATATGACTTAAAGGTTTAGGGTTCTTTGTCTAAATTTTTATAAGAGTGATATATGAATGATATCCTAAAAGATAAACGATTCACATAATTAAAATACATTACGAATTGATCACAAAAACTTGTGTTAAAAATTGTTGTTTTCTTTTACGCATGTGCCCTAAAAGAGAACACCAAGTTAGGCCAACAAAAAGCGCAGAAAATACCAGAAATACCCAACCTGACAATTAGAAGAAGACGATTTGGACCAAACTATTTGTAACCTACGAAAACACTAACAAGGAAAACAACAAAAGTAATTGCATAGGCCAAGCGGAGGCAATGCATAGCAGAAAATACCAAGAACAAGTTAACAACGAAGGACGTAATCCATGAGGATAACTTTGCAAATCATGTACTTGATTACAAGGATAAGTTAACAAGTTTTGAGCCAAGTTAAAGTTTTGGTGCCACTTAGTACTACAGTCTAGTAGTCAGCCTTCTATAGCGCCATGTAAATCCATATGGATAACTTTGCAAATCATGTACTTGATTACAAGGATAAGTTACAAGTTTTGAGCCAAGTTGAAGTTTTGGCGCCATTTAGTAGTACGATTTAGTGACCAGCCGCCTAACGTCGTATTTTTAGAACAGTACGATTTTACACTTTATACATTGCATGGTAAGATACATGAGTGACTTAGCAAGGTCTAAAATATTGATGATATCGGAAATATCGGTAGTCCAAAAATACGGAAATTTCGATGGAAATATCGGGATATTATGGATATTTTAGACCATGGCCATGACAAATACCATTCACAATAGGTGGGGAGTGGTAGAAAAAAGTCAAGGCAGTTCACTATTTAAGTAAATAGTGAACTGGCCGGTAAAGATGGTGAACTTGGGCTGGCCGGTAAAGATGGTGGACGTGAGTTTTGTACCACGAGAGGCGTTGGCAACGGTGGTGGACTTCGTGGATGCAATGCTCAATCAGAGCGATTCCGGCTTCCTGCTCTTGTACCCCAGAACAAGAAACCAAGGTAGAAAACAAATAACTGTAAATTTGATTGAACAGCTGATTACACATCTAGTTTCTAATTTCTTATTTCAAATTTTTGCTTATACATTTGTGTAAGACTACTTTCACAACTAGAAGATGAAGTGTAAACTGAAAATAACCCAAACGAAACCTGCTTCCGCTCGATCACGTCTCCTTTGCAGCAACAACAACAGGTTCAAAAAGTGGCAAAAACTTCAAAAGACCTTGGTTACCGCCATCTCATCAGCTTCGTGATCTAATTGCGCCAGCTGTTTTGCTTCTTTGCTTCGAAGGAAGCTCCATCCTTTAGCATGTCCTGAGCGTCAGTTTCCATTCCCAGCTTCGAAAGGGCGAGAGCCTGCATGTAGAAGGCAGTTGCCCACTCAGGCAAGCACACTTGAGCTTGCATGGCATCTCTCAAAGCTAATTCTGGTTGCCCAATCATTAAGTAGGAGAGCGCTCGCCTCACAAATATAGTACCCGAAGGAACAGACATCATTGAAACCAACTGCACAATAAAAAGGATCAGAAATTAAAGGACACATACAGATACAAAGGCACTAAGATGTTCAATTTTTTCAGCCGAGTCTGCAAGTACTTGCGGTTCAGGTAAACTTCTTTTATTCAATTTTCTGCTGTCATTTGCTGCTCATATGATTTCAAAAGCCATAAAGGTATTGTAAGAGTTACCGTTCCATTGAGTTTTACTCAACGTGCGTAGAAGATGATGAAAGCAATTTCATGTAAGTCAAAATGCTGTAAGGAACGCGGTATCCCCATTTCAAGATTTTAATAACGGAAATTGCTAACTAGATCATGACATCGTAGGAATCACATTATGCATTTGAAAGTAAAAGTAAATGTAAAGAACAATGGAAATTAAAGAAAAATACCTTAGAGTAGTGCTCCACGGCATTTTTAAAATCCTTGTCTCTGAACGCAATGTCCCCAAATTTCTTGGTATTCAACATATCTTGCACTTGTTGTGTCCACTCTTGAAATGACAGCTTTAGATAGAACACATTTCCGATGAAAAGGATCATTATATAAGACCACAACCCACAAGCCTTTGAAAACAATTGTACTAACTACTAATTACATATTTTAAGATGGCCGACTATATTTTGGGAGATGTTACAGAAGCTAAGAGAACACTGACGTGGATCAACTAAGTTTTAGGCAAATTACGGCATTTGCTCACAAAACTGTATTTAATGGAAGAAGATTGCCTTCTTTTGTTCTGTAATATGGTAAGATAATCATACTTAAGTTTTCTATTTCCAGATATATGTGGTTCACCTACAAAGAGAAGATAAGAAACTCACTTCATTTTCTGCACCCTCTTCATCTCTGTAACCAGTCTTTAGCAAAATCTCATGAACTGCAGAGAGGTCCATCTGTACACAGGCCTTCCCAAGGGGAGAAAGTATGGTTGGCATCACCACTGGAGTTTTTGATAAACCCATTAAAACAAGTGATGCAACCTAAAATACCAGTTTCAACGAATGAACATATTAGTAAATATATATAAAACAAATGAAGAAATTGCAGGACAAGTCGTCACAAAATCCTAGTTTTCAATAAGACTTTGTAACTATTCAAAATACCTCTGTCTGCTTTTGGAGGGGGGATACTGCTGACAGAAGAAATGTGGTCTCAGGTCGATCTTTAGCCTCATATTGAAGACATTTTGAGGCCAATTCAACCAATTCAGTTGCATCTTCATTGGCATATTGTCCTTCTAAGGATGAATCCATTAACAATAACAAACTTTTCCCCCTTATGAGATCCAATGCCTAGAAAATAACAAGTTAATTCCATGAAGTAAGAAGTTGCAAGTGACTTGTCTGCCCCAAATCATTAAAGGCGACAAAACACTATAACAATAGAAGACAGACCAATGAACTTGGAGTCAAGCAGGCAATTCCAAGTAGAACAATAGTTAACAGCGTAGCTACAATCATGGTCTGTTAATGGGCCTTGGTGCTATTTTATTCACAACCATCTATATGGCCCTCAATAGCCTTCTCATGAAGAACACCCTCAATAATTGTTTGATATATTGTCTGCTTTGAGAAAGACAGTGTATCTTGATATAAATAATGAAATTAATGACGGTCTATTTTGTTGGTCGAGTCGGTCCCTTACACATTTGGTGCATCCATTTGGGTTTTATTTTTGTTTATTACTACTGCATTATTTCCTTGTATTCCATGCTCAAGTATTTAGTTTTAATTCAACACACAGACAGTGTAAGTACTCCTAAGTCTCCCATCCCTAGCTTGGGTATAAGTTATAACTCGTCTATAAGAAATAAATTTCAAAATGGGATAGAGTATACCAACGAAACAGACAATGCTCGTACCTAGTGGTGCTGCTCTGAGAACCAAGTTTGGAATGACAGGAAAATGCCTATTTAAGGAAACATTCTTGTATTACTTAAAATTCAAACCACTATCTTTAGCATTGACCCCAACAACATATCTTTAATTCTTTTTTGTTTTCCAACTGACAATCTATAGAGTGAATATGCAAGTGGAGCTCGCAATGACACACTCATCCTTTGTGTTTGGAGGAAATATAGTGGGGGTTGGCAACTACCACTGGCACCAGATATTTTACCCTTCTAACCCTTGTCAGCATGATTTGACAACAACAACAACAACAACAAAGCCTTTTCCCACTAAGTGGGGTCGGCTATATGAATCCTAGAACGCCATTGCGCTCGGTTTTGTGTCATGTCCTCCGTTAGGTCCAAGTACTCTAAGCCTTTTCTTAGAGTGTCTTCCAAAGTTTTCCTAGGTCTTCCTCTACCCCTTCGGCCCTGAACCTCTGTCCCGTAGTCACATCTTCGAACCGGAGCGTCAGTCGGCCTTCTTTGCACATGTCCAAATCACCGGAACCGATTTTCTCTCATCTTTCCTTCAATTTCGGCTACTCCTACTTTACCTCGGATATCCTCATTCTCAATCTTATCCTTTCTCGTGTGCCCACACATCCCACGAAGCATCCTCATCTCCACTACACCCATTTTGTGTACGTGTTGATGTTTACGGTCACACAACACGCCGGATGCACTCTTACACTTCATCATCCAGCTCGTATTCTATGGTTGAGATCTCCATCTAATTCTCCGTTCTCTTGCAAGATAGATCCTAGGTAGCGAAAACGGTCGCTTTTTGTGATCTTCGCTAGATTGCTCCGGTCATTAGTGTGGATAAGTATATAAATGGATAGAGATAGGAAAGCAAACACAAGATGTACGTGGTTCACCCACATTGGCTACGTCCACGGAATAGAAAAGTTCTCATTAATTGTGAAGGGTTTACACAATTACATAGGTTTAAGCTCTCCTTTAGTGAGTACAAGTGAATGATTTAGTACAAATGACATTAGAGTACAAATGACATTAGGAAATATTGTGGGAGAATGATCTCGTAATCACGAAACTTCTAAGTATCGGAGTGTGGTATCATCTTGACTTGCCTTATCTGTCTCATAGGTAGATGTGGCAGCTTCTCTGGAAGTACTCTTCCTCCATCCAGGGGTGGTATCTTTAACTGGTGGAGATGCACAAGGTAATGTATCAATTTCACTTGAAGCTTACTTGTAGTTTCAGGCTTGGTCAAGCGCGATACAAACCATGTAGTAGGAGTCCCCCAAGTCGCCGAGCTAGGGGATCTGCTGAAAGAGGTGACAGACAAGGTAAGCAATCAGAGCTCCGGCTGATTGTTCACCTTCTCCCCATCTTGCAGCAGCATGAAGGATAAAGAGAAGAAAAATGAGAAGAGATGATATGGGATACTTTTGCTTTGAAGAAGTAGCTTTCCACAGGCTTATTCTTGAACTGAGCTGGAGGGTTTTCTGATTTCCTCCAGAGTATAAGGCCGACTGAAGAATTTGAGGGTCAAAACAAGTTCATCAAATCTAGAGTACGTTCGACCCTGCTGATATGGGATACTTTTGCTTTTGACAGAGTAATGGATGTATAGGCACGTGTGCTGTTACGCTTGTCTCCACATGCTTCCTTGTATCCTTCGCACTTGCCCTATCTGTTCCTCAAGCAGATGCGGTATCTTCCCTGGAAACATAAGATGTTGAAGATGAGTACTCGAGAGCAATGCCAGGTAAGTAATCAGGTAAGGGGTTCCAGGCAGTCAGTTCCTGGTTGGGAGCTTGATTTCAAGTGTTGACTGATTGCTCTCTTTCTCCTTGTCTTGCAGGTAAAAACAAGGCCAAAGGAAAAGACAGGGAAAAAAGCATGATATGGGATACTCTTGCTTTTAACCCTGATGATATGAGATATTCTTGCTCTAGTATAGCTTGTTTGCAGAGGTATTATCGGGGGGAAAGAAAGCTGAATATTTCGAAAGGCTTCGTTGGGAGTGCCCTCTCAGATATGAGGAAGGGTTAAGCATTTTTGCAGGTCTGCCTGTCCGTTGCGGATGGAGGTCGACATATATAGGAGTCTCCCTAACAACAAGTAGTAATGCTATTCCTTTACCCTGCTTGGTCATAGCACGGTAGTGGGAGTTGCCAGCTTCACATGTTTTAACTCTGTCAGAGCATTTTGAAAAAAGTGGCATGTGTGGTATCTGGCTCTCGAGATTCGGAGAACGATGCTTCTTCGATTTTTGAGAAAGCAATCATGCTGGGGGTCTGGCTCTCGAGATTCGGGGAGCAGTGTCTCTTCGATTTTTGAGAAAGTAATCATGTTGGGAGTCTGGCTCTCGAGATTCGGAGGGCGGTGCCTCTTCGATTTTGGAGTAAGCAATCTTGTTGGGAGTGTTTTCTCGGATGTGAGTAAAGGTTGGGCATGTTTGCTAGTCTACCTTGCCACGAAGCACGGAGGTTGACACACAGGGACTTTCCAATTATCCAGCAGTGGTACTGTTCCTTTACCCTTGTGGGTAATAATATGGTAGCTAGACCTTCAAAATTTATGTGTCTAAACTTTATTAGTGCTGTTTCTTTGCTATTCTTTTACCTTTCTTGGTCAGAGCGATGTGGTGGGAGCTGCAAGCTTCACGTGCTCAACTTTGGCAGACTTTGGCAAAGTTATCTGTGGTACCCATGAGCTATTGTTGCGTGTGGGAAGTGGGTGATTGAACAGTAAGATTCATGTGCTTTCGACTTCACCAGAAGTGTTCGACAGAATGCCCATAATTTCCGCAAAGCTGAGTGTGCGTGTGACAGGTGCTGACAAGGCTAGAAAAGTAGGTGCCTCTTCGATTTCTGAGATCGGCCCTCGTGATCTCTGAGCAGCCCAGCTTTTGAGAAAGCGAGCGCCTCTTCGATTGATTCGGAGAACGATGCCTCTTCGATTTTTGAGAAAGCAATCATGCTGGGGGTCTGGCTCTCGAGATTCGGGGAGCAGTGTCTCTTCGATTTTTGAGAAAGTAATCATGTTGGGAGTCTGGCTCTCTCGAGATTCGGAGGGCGGTGCCTCTTCGATTTTGGAGCAAGCAATCTTGTTGGAAGTGTTTTCTCGAATGTGAGTAAAGGTTGGGCATGTTTGCTAGTCTACCTTGCCACGAAGCACAGAGGTTGACACACAGGGACTTTCCAATTATCCAGCAATGGTACTGTTCATTTACCCTCTCTTCGATTTTTGAGAAAGTAGTCATGTTGGGAGTCTAGCTCTCGAGATTCGGAGGACGGTGCCTCTTCGATTTTGGAGCAAGCAATCTTATTGGGAGTGTTTTCTCGAAATGTGAGTAAAGGTTGGGCATGTTTGCTAGTCTACCTTGCCACAAGGCACAGAGGTTGACACACAGGGACTTTCCAATTATCTAGCAGTGGTACTGTTCATTTACCCTTGTGGGTAATAATATGGTAGCTAGACCTTCAAAATTTATGGGTCTAAACTTTGTTAGTGCTGTTTCTTTGCTATTCTTTTACCCTTCTTGGTCAGAGCGATGTAGTGGAGCTGCAAGCTTCACGTGCTCAACTTTGGCAAAGTTATCTGTGGTACCCATGAGCTATTGTTGCGTGTGGGAAGTGGGTGATTGGACAGTAAGATTCATGTGTTTTCTACTTCCCCAGAAGTCTTCGACAGAATACCCATAATTTCCGCAAAGCTGAGTGTGCGTGTGACAGGTGCTGACAAGGCTGGAAAAGTAGGTGCCTCTTCGATTTCTGAGATCGGCCCTCGTGGTCTCTGAGGAGCCCAGCTTTTGAGAAAGCGAGCGCCTCTTCGATTTCTGAGATCGGCTTTCATGGTCTTTGAGCAGCCCAACTTTTGAGAAAGCAAACACCTCTTCGATTTATGAGATCACCCTCGTGGTCTCTAAGCAGCCCAGCTTTTGAGAAAGCAAACGCCTTTTCGATTTCTGAGCAGGCGCCTCTTCGATGTCTGAAGCTCCGTCGAGTGCAGCTTTTTTATAGGGGCTGGCATTAAGTTCCAAAGCACACTTGAATCTCCACCAGTAGAAGCTCCATTCTTGCACTTCTAAGATCTTGATTTGTCCGACTTCTTCTCTCTTCAACACCTTTGAAAATGTCTGGCCCCTCCGACCGTCGTTTTGACTTGAACCTTGTTGAAGAGGCAGCCCCGCCTTCTCCAGACAACATATGGCGCCCATCCTTCGTCTCCCCTACTGGTCCTCTTACCGTTGGGGATTCTGTGATGAAGAATGATATGACCGCTGCGGTGGTGGCCAGGAACCTTCTCACTCCCAAAGATAACAGGCTACTTTCCAAACGGTCTGATGAGTTAGCTGTTAAGGATTCGCTGGCTCTCAGTGTTCAGTGTGCAGGTTCTGTGTCTAATATGGCCCAACGCCTATTTGCTCGAACCCGCCAAGTTGAATCATTGGCGGCCGAAGTGATGAGTCTCAAACAGGAGATTAGAGGGCTCAAGCATGAGAATAAACAGTTGCACCGGCTCGCACATGACTATGCTACAAACATGAAGAGGAAGCTTGACCAGATGAAGGAAACTGATGGTCAGGTTTTACTTGATCATCAGAGATTTGTGGGTTTGTTCCAAAGGCATTTATTGCCTTCGTCTTCTGGGGCTGTACCGCGTAATGAAGCTCCAAATGATCAACCTCTGATGCCTCCTCCTTCTAGGGTTCTGTCCAGTACTGAGGCTCCGAATGATCCCCCTTTGATGCCTTCTCTTTCTGGGGCTCTACCGACTGCTGAGACTTCTCCTAAGCAACCTTTGTGAAGGCTCCATCTTGTTTGTTTATTTTGACTCATGTATATGTACATATTTGTAGCTTATCGGGGATATCAATAAATAAGTTTTCCTTCATTTCAACGTATTGTGTTAAATACACCAAAGCCTTCTTCGCTAAGTTCTTTGAATTTTCTTTTGTTGAAGCTTGTATGTTGAAGCTTTCTGAGTGGAGCATGTAGGTTGGGGTAGTGTTCCCTTAATTTTCCGAGTGAGGAAAACTTCTCGGTTGGAGACTTGGAAAATCCAAGTCACTGAGTAGGATCGGCTATATGAATCTTAGAACGCCATTGTGCTCGGTCCTGTGTCATGTCCTTCGTTAGATCCAAGTACTCTAAGTCTTTTCTTAGAGTCTCTTCCAAAGTTTTCCTAGGTCTTCCTCTACCCCTTCGGCCCTGAACCTCTGTCCCATAGTCGTCGCATCTTCTAATCGGAGCGTCAGTAGGCCTTCTTTGCACATGTCCAAACCACCGTAACCGATTTTCTCTCATCTTTCCTTCAATTTCGGCTACTCCTACTTTACCCCGGATATCCTCATTCCTAATCTTATCCTTTCTCGTGTGCCCACACATCCAACGAAGCATCCTCATCTCCGCTACACCCATTTTGTGTACGTGTTGATGCTTCACCGCCCAACATTCTGTGCCATACAGCATCGCCGGCCTTATTGCCGTCCTATAAAATTTTCCCTTGAGCTTCAGTGGCATACGGCGGTCACACAACACACCAGATGCACTCTTCCACTTCATCCATCCAGCTTGTATTCTTTGGTTGAGATCTCCATCTAATTCTCCGTTCTTTTGCAAGATAGATCCTAGGTAACGAAAACGGTCGCTCTTTGGTATTTCTTGATCTCCGATCCTCACCCCTAACTCGTTTTGGCCTCCATTTGCACTGAACCTGCACTCCATATATTCTGTCTTTGATCGGCTTAGGCGAAGACCTTTAGATTCCAACACTTCTCTCCAAAGGTTAAGCTTTGCATTTACCCCTTCCTGAGTTTCATCTATCAACACTATATCGTCTGCGAAAAGCATACACCAAGGAATATCATCTTGAATATGTCCTGTTAACTCATCCATTACCAACGCAAAAAGGTAAGGACTTAAGGATGAGCCTTGATGTAATCCTACAGTTATGGGAAAGCTTTCGGTTTGTCCTTCATGAGTTCTTACGGCAGTCTTTGCTCCTTCATACATATCCTTTATGGCTTGGATATATGCTACTCGTACTCCTTTCTTCTCTAAAATCCTCCAAAGAATGTCTCTTGGGACCCTATCATACGCTTTTTCCAAATCTATAAAGACCATGTGTAAATCCTTTTTCCCATCTCTATATCTTTCCATCAATCTTCGTAAGAGATAGATTGCCTCCATGGTTGAGCGCTCTGGCATGAACCCGAATTGGTTGTCCGAAACCCGTGTCTCTTGCCTCAATCTATGCTCAATGACTCTCTCCCAGAGCTTCATTGTATGACTCATTAACTTAATACCCCTATAGTTCATGCAATTTTGTACGTCGCCCTTATTCTTGTAGATAGGCACCAAAGTGCTCGTTCGTCACTCATTTGGCATCTTCTTCGTTTTCAAAATCCTATTGAAAAGGTCAGTGAGCCATGTTATACCTGTCTCTCCCAAAACTTTCCACACTTCGATTGGTATATCGTCTGGGCCTATTGCTTTTCTATGCTTCATCTTCTTCAAAGCTATAACCACTTCTTCCTTCCGGATTCGACGATAAAAAGAGTAGTTTCTACACTCTTCTGAGTTACTCAACTCCCCTAAAGAAGCACTCCTTTCATGTCCTTCATTGAAAAGATTATGAAAATAACCCTCTCCATCTGTCTTTAACCGCGTTCTCTGTAGCAAGAACCTTTCCATCCTCATCCTTGATGCACCTCACTTGGTTTAGGTCCCTTGTCTTCTTTTCCCTTGCTCTAGCTAGTTTATAGATATCCAACTCTCCTTCTTTGGTATCTAGTCGTTTATACATATCGTCATAAGGCCGCTAACTTAGCTTCTCTGACAGCTTTTCTTCGCCTCTTGCTTCGCTTTTCTATACCTTTCACCATTTTCATCGGTCCTCTCCTTGTATAAGGCTTTACAACATTCCTTCTTAGCCTTCACCTTTGTTTGTACCTCCTCATTCCACCACCAAGATTCCTTTTGGTGTGGGGCAAAGCCCTTGGACTCTCCTAATACCTCTTTTGCTACTTTTCGGATACAACTAGCCATGGAATCCCACATTTGGCTAGCTTCCCCCTCTCTATCCCACACACATTGGGTGATTACCTTCTCTTTGAAAATGGCTTGTTTTTCTTCTTTTAGATTCCACCATCTAGTCCTTGGGCACTTCCAAGTCTTGTTCTTTTGTCTCACTCTTTTGATATGTACATCCATCACCAACAAGCGATGTTGATTAGCCACGCTCTCTCCTGGTATAACTTTGCAATCCTTACAAGTTATACGATCCCCTTTCCTCATTAGAAGAAAATCTATTTGTGTTTTTGACGACCCACTCTTGTAGGTGATCACATGTTCTTCTCTCTTCTTAAAGAAGGTGTTGGCTAAGAAGAGATCATATGCCATTGCAAAATCCAAGATAGCTTCCCCATCCTCGTTTCTCTCCCCAAAACCATGGCCACCATGAAAACCTCCATAGTTGCCTGTCTCCCTGCCCACGTGTCCATTTAAATCTCCTCCTATAAATAACTTCTCCGTCTGAGCAATTCCTTGCACCAAGTCTCCAAGGTCTTCCCAAAATTTCTCCTTCGAACTCGTATCCAACCCTACTTGAGGTGCGTACGCACTAATCACATTGATAAGTTCTTGTCCTATTACAATCTTGATTGCCATGATTCTATCTCCTACCCTCTTGACATCTACAACATCTTGTGTCAAGGTCTTGTCCACGATGATGCCAACACCGTTTCTCGTTCTATTTGTGCCCGAATACCAAAGTTTAAACCCTGAGTTTTCTAGATCCTTTGCCTTACTACCAACCCACTTAGTTTCTTGTAGGCACATAATATTTATCCTTCTCCTCACCATAACTTCCACTACTTCCATAGATTTTCCCGTTAAGGTTCCTATATTCCACGTTCCTAAACGCATTTTGCTCTCTTGAACTCTACCCTTCTGTCCTAGCTTCTTCACCCTCCCCCGTCTAATAGGATCAAAGTACTTCTTTTGTGTGTCCCGTGTAAAGTTGATAGGAGCATATGCTCCCAAACAACTTTGAGTGGAGTCGTTCGAAAAGAAGTTTCTACGGCCCCCTTGCTCATTTAACACTGCATCCGGGTGCCGATGGAGATACAGCGACCCTTGCTCACTTATCACTGTGCTCGGGCCACACAGCGCGCCACTTACGGGTGACGCCCTAGCTTTAGCGCGATTTTGTTCTGGATTCATTTTCATAAGGATTCGACGTGATCATGGAGTGCCGGCTGTCGACTACCTGACGCCCTCCCCCTCCTCCTTTATCCGGGCTTGGGACGATAAAAAAAATTACATGATTGAACTAAAGAGTGAAACTGTCATGCTTAACCCAAAAAGAAAAATAAGAACGAAACTGTCATGAAGGTTGAGATAGTACAGAAAAGTAAAGATAAATATGTGAAGAATGCATACGTGGCTTGGAGGGATATGTTTTCCACTCAAAAGGTCAAGAAGAACAGTCCCATAACTATAGATCACACTCTCTGGAATGACCCTACCTGCAAAAACCAAACGTTGTATTATGTAAAATGGATAATGGTATTTCCTTAGTAGCCACTATCAGAAACATACAAGAAATGATCACAGTCCTGCTACATGTTAAACTTTCGAGAGTTGGGATGGTTCTTTTTCTGCAATATTGTATGATTGGAATGCTGCTGTTTTTCTATTTTGTTGCTGTAAATGGGGTTGTGGATGTTCTATCTGTTGTAGTTGATCGTATTGGTGGGGGATGCAGGTTTTTAGCTCATCAGGCTCAGTTGATATCTGCCCACACTGTCATTCTTCCTTTTTCCATTAATGAAATTTAGTTTCCTATCCATGAGAGAGTGCTAACTGAATTGTATCAATTATTAGCATTTTGATTTTTAACAAGACTCATCATGTAACAAAATCAAGCATTAGAAGCAGAAATAATTCCTCTTGTTTCAAACGAGACCGACTTCACTTCCTTTGGATGGAAAATGGAAGACCACACATAGGAGAATTAGAGAATAGAACCGTCTGGGTCTTTCTTACATTGGTAAATGGTAATGCTCACACCATAGAAAGCACAGGATAACAAAACGTAAATTTTAGGGACAATAGTTCACATCTTGATCCACTTTCTTGCTGTTCTAACTCAGACATTTCAATGGAGACATCGAGACAGATTCCAAGATTTACTTATTGGTCCCTTGATTTTAATGTCTGTGACAGCTTATTTGATCTTTTCCCTTCTTTTTTTTAAATGTTTTCTTTTTTGTTTAATGTAAAAATCATTATTGTTCTTCCAGTTACTTTATATTCTGCTCTGATGAATATTACTAACCATGACGACATAAGATCAAACATCGCCATACTGAAATCTTTCCACTTGCAAGAGTCTATAAGAAACCTCCAGTAATGTATGCTAAACAACATGGCATACCTGTCCGCAAAAATTCAGGTGGAGTATAAGCCAAGTTAGTGCTATAGCTTTTACCATCTCGGCTATTTTTTATCAGACCAAAGCTAGATAACCGCGGGTCACCATCCTGTGATCCAGCCAAATATTAAGTTCAACAACAATTCGGATAAGTTCAATACTAACACCACAAAATATGCTCCCTTGATGTCACAAAAAGTAAGTTTCTTTTTCTATTTCAATAAGGAACTACTTGATAATAAAGGGTCACAATTGAATCAGGGCATGAACAGAACATGTAGAACCTCGAGGTTTCCCCTTGATCACATATTGGCTAGGCAGACCATTATTTCCTTAAAAGTGAGAACCACCCAGGATGGCCAAGAGATAGGAAATTTGAAATTCAAATATCATTTGTTCGATTTGTTTCTGAACAATCTCTCCCAACGGCATACTCACTATACTCCGTCTGCTTTAATTGTTATTAAGCACATTTGTGCTAACTTGAATATGTAATGCACAAATGAAGACACATAAACATTACACGTGTAAAAACTACCAAATTTCAGTAAGCGCTAACCCTGATCTGAATAATTAGGTTTTGAATGAATCACTAAAGCAAATAAATATGAATTTCCCACTTGCAACTTATTGTGTTGAATGATCTGTACCTCTTCCAAGAAAACTCTGTATGTGCAAACTACGGGAATTTCGGTAACCCCCAACCTTGGTTCCAATAATTAGGTTTGGAAGTCAATTAAACACTAAAGCAGTGTGTTTGGATATAGCGTACCTCATCAAAAAGAACTCTGTATGCATTTAAGTCATGATACAGTTTTCGGTTTTCTTTATTGCAATGATCAAGGGCTTGTGCAATATAGTATGCAATTCTAACGCGCATTTCCCATGGCAATGGCTGTTTCTCCCCTGTAACATATATTAGAAAAACTAACGAATAAGGGAAACCAAATTTAACTGTGGCTCAAAGAATAAACGCAAAAAAAAAAAGCAAAACAGGAAGACAAAATGAAAACAAAATCTTAAGAGGGAAAAGAAATGCACAATCAAGTTATCCATGCTCAGTGACAATAGAATATGCAAACAGAAAATAATTGAGCTCATCGTCCAAAAAAGTTAAGCCAAAGAAGCATTACCGTTACAATATGAGCTAGAAGATTCAATTAGCCTAATTTTGGCAGTGAGAGGCCTTCTAGTTAATGACAGGACTTCAATACTACAGAGTGAAGAGGAAATTCTTCTGCACTAACTATCAGCTAACACATAAAGGCATAGTTAAAACTCTTTCCTATGAAAACACACAAAGATTAAAATCCAGGCAGAGTGCAGGGAATCCTAATCTATAGAAATAGTATAAACAAACACCAATAAGTTAGGCTTCAGGATGTCAACATAGTGAATCTAGCCTTTGCAAGGTCTGAATCATTGGTGACTTGTTACTTTTAGACGTTGGCAGAAGGTAGGATAGATGTGGGTGCATCCACCGGGAGGGGAAGCCTACAACTAAGACGCAAATTACAGAACATGTGAGTTACACGAATTCATACCAGAAAAGGACTATATCTACATCTAAATGCCTAGTGAGAGTCCTTGGACACAGATGACCATGCTGACTCACGATTGGAGATCACTTCACTTCCAAAGCATTTGCATTGAGTTACAAGTTACAACTAGAAGAATGAACAAAGCAAAACTACATTATATAATATGTCCCAACTCTATGAGGCTTAGAGAATATTAGCAACATTCATATTTTTATAGTTTATCAGCACAAATACATACAAGAACGATAGAAACATACAGTGAAAGAGGTGCTTGGAGAGAGTATCATTAGGCATGTACTCTGCCACCAACAGCCTCTCATCTCCCTCAGCACAACACCCAATCAAATTCACCAATTTTTTGTGCCTAACCTTGCCAACCCCAGCCGCCTCTGCCTACATCCAGATACAACACAAACACCTCCATCAGCTCAGAAACTCATACAGGCATATAAACACAAACACATAACATGCACAAACTCAGTGGACAATGGCATACCAAAAACTGATGTGGGTCGGGCCAAGACAGCTTAGAAAAGCGTTTAATGGCGACAAATCGATTGTTTCTTAACTTCCCTCTGTAAACAACATTGGGGGCCTTCTCCCCACTCTCAGAGACAATAAGTTCAGAGTTGAATCCATTGGTGGCAGTTCTCAGCTCTGCCAGTCCAAACTCTTTGAATACAGGAACAGCTTGCTCATCTTCCAATTCCACTTCATTGGCTTTCACACCATCATACAGATATTGGGTTCAAATTTCAAACAAAAATCAATCGTTTAGTTCATAATTTTCAATTGGGTTTTTGCTAAACACAAAAATAATCGAAACCCAGAAAGGAAAAAGAGTGAAACCTGGATCTGGTGGAGGAGGGGCTTGGTCGGAGGAAGGGAGGCGGGGTTTTTTGGACTGGAAGCAGCCCATTGATGAGAGCTACATGCCACTGCTCTGCTTCCTTTCTTCTTCTTTTGTGATCTGTATTAGTTGTTAAGTGTGTGGAAGTGGAAGTGGGAGTTTGGTCAAGTCAAGTGAAGGTGTGAAAATGGAGGTAAAAAGTCAACAAAGAGGTTGTGGGGACGGAGAGAGAGTAATGTGGGGGTGGGGTTTGGGTTGTTCAGTTCAAAAATTGGCAAGCTGATTGAGATCAAAACTTAGGGAGACGAGGGAGAAGCACATGACAATATGACATACTGACAATGAGCACATGTACCCACACGCACGCAGACTATCCAACGCGCATTACAATTTGGAATTGTGAATAATAATTTATGAGTTCATTTTGATGTGTTGTCAAAAGCACTTAAAATGTTTTCCACAAGAAGCGTTAGTTGTATGATTCTTCCAGAAAATACTTTAAATATTTTTTCAGCATTAACTAACATTTTTATTAAGGATTGTTTCTAAATATATTTTCATCAAAAACGTTTTCAGTTATTTTAAAAGTATATCCAAATAAACTCTATAACTAGTTTGAGTTGTGTAAACTAGAAGTAAGAACTCAATAATATTTAGAAGATCATTTTTTTTTGTATGATTTATATTACTTATAGCCCATAAAGCATCGATTACTATAAATAAGGGCACTAGACATAAGGAATGACTAAACCCTTCACACATTTTCTCTTCTCCAGCAGACCTTCTCTCCATCCTACTATCTCTCAATAATTAGTTTCGGAACACTTTTCACATATTTAATATATCTATTATATATAAAGAGAGAAGAAAAGGTGAATAGTGTTTTGATTTCACCAAGCTTCAACAAAAGAATTGGATAAAAATGCCCCCAAAACAAAAAGCTTCAAATGCATTCCAAAACAATGCATCAAATAAGACAGGGGCATTTTTGTCATTTTAATAGTATTTTTTTTTAATAATTAATTTGTGTGTGTGTATTTTTTATTTTTTTTTTATAATTAATACTTCACAATAAGCTAACAATAATGTGATTCAATTTCTCTATTTTTAAACACGTTCAAAAAGTCTTAAGAGGCGTGTAATGCCGGTTATAAAAAAAAAAGTCGTTCGCACGTGGATAATAATGTAATTAAATTAATTGTCAAATGATTTTTTTTACATGTTCAAAATATCTTAAGAGGCATGTAATGCCGGTTATAAAAAAGGTCATTCGCACGCGAATAATAATGTGATTAAATTAGTTATTAAATGATTGTTTTTTTTAACAAACGATATTATCTACACTAAGGGATGGAGGGGGTGGGCTTAGCCTCATAATAGGCTAGCAATAATGTGATTCAATCAATTGTTTATTAAATATTATTTTCTCTATTTTAAATACGTTCAAAACATCTTAAGAGACGTGTAATGCAGGTTATAAAAAAAGTCATTCGCACACGAATAATAATGTGATTAAATTAGTTGTCAAATAATTTTTTTTTAACAAACAATATTATCTACACTAAGAGGGAGGGGTGGACTTAACCTCACAATGGACTAGCAATAATGTGATTCAATCGGTTGTTTATTAGATATTATTTTCTCTATTTTTAAACACGTTCAAAACATCTTAAGATGCATGTAATGCCAGTTATAAAAAATGATCTTTCGTACGCGGATAATAATGTGATTAAATTAGTTGTCAAATGATTTTTTTTTTAATAAACGATATTATCTACACTAAGGGAGAGGGGTGGGCTTAACCTCACAATGGGTTAGCAATAATGTGATTCAATTAATTGTTTATTATATATTATTTTCTCTATTCTTAATATAAATTCTATAAAGACCGATTTTATTATGCAAATTCAGCTGCTTTAATTGGTTTATGATGGGTTTCTTCTAGCATGATCTAAGATTATTCATTTACTTCAAGTATTTGACTTTCTTTTTGTCAATTTACGCATACAAATACATTTAAAACGTGTAAGTTGTGCTTAGCACACCATGATTCAAAAAATTCCTTCTACACTTGTGTGAGCGCGTGCATGAAAGCCAGTATAAATAAAAGTAAAAGTAAAATTTAGGATTTGTACACGAAATATAATTATGTTATAACCAAACATGCACCATTGGTATTTGTAACTTTTTTTTATAAAATCTGTTAGTCTAACGATGTTGCACACATGTAGACCATGCATATCCAGAATAATATCTTGATGAGGAATTTTTCAGGGTTTCGAAACCCCATCTCAACATTTATAAATGGAGTACTGAACCAATGAAAATTGGATATCTGATTTTGTCATTTTTTTTTTTCATTTAAAACACTTTGCTGAAAGCAAGGTTCTAAAAAATGTTAGGCGCTAGTTGGGCAGCGGGCTAGCACTTAGCGCCTAGATGGCTAGGCGAGGCCTAGGCGGATTTAGGTAAATTTCGTGTATATCTTATAAATAAGTGCATATTGTCACTTACAAAAAATTATACTTGAATGAAATCCATAGATAAGATAATAAAATAATGATAAAATGCAAAAAGATTATCCAACAAGTCCAAAATTTAAAAACATATTAAGCATAATCATAGTGAGGAGTATTGTAATGTAGGATGACACATGTACAACAAGTTCACAATTTAAAACAACATAAAATGCAAAATAGGAGGAAAATAAGGAAATACAGTAATGTAAAATACTTAATTTAAGTTTTTTTTTAAAAAAAAAATGCCCAGCCGCCTAGCACCGCCTAGCCCTCCTAGGGCCACCTCAATTTTTCTAGCCATTTTACATGAAATCACCTCAGTTCCAACGCACCCAGCTCCTAGGCGGCCGCCTAGGCCCTTTTTAAAACATCGGTTGAAAGTTAAAACATCAAGGGATATTTTTAACTTCGTTATACTTTTATGTTATCGTTAATAGTCTGAACATTCACAACCTGTCGTTGGAATCACGGTGCTTCTGCAACCCCAAGTGTCAGTTGTGCCACAACAAGGTCATCAATGACTATTTCCCAGCAACGAAACCAAAGCAAGAAGATTTTCTTAATTCCATCCTCTTTTTTTACGCCTAAAGCTCGAGGTTTTGCACTTGCACCTAAAACCTAGAAGCCTTTGTGACTTGATTGTTTAGCTTTTGTATTTTTAGATTTACAATTTTCAAGTCTAGGTAGAATTTGGGTTTTAATCATCTTCCTTAGAATTGAAAATTTCAGTGCTTATGAGTTGTCCCTGTAGAGGTAGGGGTGGATTCAAAAAACCGAAAACCGAAAAAAAAATCAGACCGAACACCAAACCAAAACCGAAAAACTGAAGAAAAAAAATCGTACCTAAAAAGAAAAAACCAAATTGAACCAAATCGAATTCCTTTACACTTTATGTATATATGCCCATGATGTTTCTTTTTTGAAACTTTGTTGCCAAATTTGAAACTAGCCTAGGTCTTTTTCAAGGAGCATACTTGGTTCAGTTAGGGAGGATATTGCATTGGTTATAGAGGAAAGTTTTGAAAGGCTTTGGAATTTGACAGACCCTCTCTATTTGTTTGTTTTTTGAATTGATACGGTGATCATTTTTCTTTGCAATTGAGGTTGTTAATAGAATAAGATTGGTTTATATGATCTTGTATATATACAACTACCTTCCCACTTTCAACTTTCCCCATTTTCTTATTATTAGTCTACCAATGCAAGCTTCTTTTCTAAATTCCATATTAAAAAAAATAAGTTTTATTAAATAAAATAAAAACCCTGAAACCATACCGAACAAAACCAAACTGAAAAAAAATCGAACTGAAAGAAAATTGAACCGAACAGAACCAAAGTTTCAGTTCGGTTTCAATCTTAACAAAAAACCGAACCGAATGAAATCGAACCCACCCATATGTGGAGGCAGCCTTAAAAGAATACATATTCCAATCCACCCATGAAGTAATTTCTTGCTTCCTTTCCCAATGATTCATAAAGTTAGATACTTTGTTTGGGAGTTGATCTGTTATCCTAGTCTTTAATTGGGTTTGTAATAGGTAATGACATTGACACACATTACAAAGATGAAATGGACCCATTAAACACACATTACAAAGCCCAAAGTAATCTTTGGAACCCAGCATATACAAATCACACAACAGAAGAACCCTTAAACAACAACAACTACTGTAGTTGTTCATCCTGTTGCCGAAACTCTCCATAACGAGCATAATCCATCTCCCGCCACAAGGACCTGCCATCACACCATCAAGAGTCCTTGAGTTGAGGAAGAAAAAAGTCGCTCCATCCTCCATGAACCACCAAAATGATCGTCACCATAGAACAAAGGAAGCCCGCGGGAAGAGAGATCTCACGAACAACAGTGCCAACAAGGGCGAACACTATAAGAACAAATAAGGGCCAACAAAGGTGGGGTGCAAAAACCCAAGCCAAAGCTCTACACACCCTCCCATAGAAAAATGACAATCGCAGTAATAAATGGTGGAGTCGAAAGTAGGATTTGTGGAAAGATGATGGAGCCAGGTGATGAAGATGGTACAGGGGAAATGATCGAGTTAGATGGAGGAAACGGGTGATCGAAATTTGATGCTCAAGATGGTGAAAACAGAGACAAAAAAAAGTAACAGGAAGATGAGATCGTGAAGGGAAGATCGGGATGAAAACAGGGCTGGGATTATTGCAAAAAACAGTAGGAGAAAGAAAAAGAAGAAGATAAAGGCAAGTCAAAGGACTGCCACAAAACCTGACCATGGCAAAGGCCGACGGGGACGCAGAAAATAAAAAACGAAAGTCACTCAGACCACGGTGAGAAAGGGTCTCACTAGAGGAGAGAATTTTTGTGATGCTTTTTAATAAAGGGTTTAGTTTGCAAAATGATATATCAAGGGTTACATGTTATACAAATATGGTCCAAATTTCATATGGAAAGCAAGAATTTATACCAACAATTCAATAAGTTGGATTAAGAATTTAACATAACACAAACAACAAAATACTCATATCTTTGTCCCTTGTTCAGTTTAAACAAAAAATTGAACTTTGAGAAATCAGTAAACGTAATCCAAGCTTAACCTAAATAAGAAATAAAACACTACCACAAAAACAAAAACAAAAACAAATAAAATACGTTCTCTAGAATGGCCAATTCAATTATCTTTGTGATGCAAGGTTGACGGTCATCATAGCTCAACATACATCTCTCTGAAACCAAGCCTTCTACACGCTTTGTATTTTGGTGTTTTAGAA